ATTTCTGAAATTTGATTTCTTCTTGCTTAAAGATTAACAATTTTTGGTATTTCTAATATAATCACTATCTGTAAGAATATTTTTTATGTGATTCATGATTTTGTGGATTTTTTCTAAATCTGTTTTTGAAATTTGATTTCTTCTTGCTAAAAGGTCAACAATTTTCAAGGTTTCTAATATAATGACTATTTGTAAGAATATTTTTTTATGTGATTCATTATTTTTTTTTCCTATGTATATTTTTTTTATCATTTGAATATTCATGAAATCTGTTTGTAAATTTGAGGTTAATGTAATTTTAAAAGCATTATAACAAGAATATGGCTGAAGTGAATCACAATCATTTTAGTAACTCTTATACTGTTGTTTATTTCCTAACTACACTTTTTGTTATTTCGGTCAATAATTCCCAAGCCTACTTCACAATATTTCTTGCACATTTAAATGACAACTTCTTAGTAATTAGCAATACATTTTATTGCTTTGCATTTTCACATTTATAATCTGTTGTGCATGGTTTTCTAGAATGGAATCCCCTCTTTATGATCTTTTGTGTTATTCTGCAGGAAATAATTGAAGTAATTCTCATTATGCTTTCACGAGATCATCCAAATAATTGAAGGTATTTATTGACATCTACTTTTCATATTATGCTTAATCAATCATTATTTTTGTTGGTTGTTGATTTTGATGTTTTTTATTTTTTATTAGTTGATGCGCTTTTAAATTTCTTCAGCACATTAGCTGGTTTACTTTGTTTTTATTGAATTTCTACCTTTATGGATTTGGTAAGTTGTTGGTGAGGCAGAGAGGGTGTGCGGAAGGGAGGGAAAGACAAAGAACGTGGTGGCAATGCGATGGGGGAATAAATTTGAAAAAAACAAAATATTTAGTTTTAGGGAAAATTCTATGTAACAAGGAAGGGTAGTATTTGATACAATGGCTAGGATTGCTTCTTCCTTTCATCCACGGTCCATTTCCAAAACTGATTTTAAAAATTTATTTGTTCTATGTGGCAATTTGGATGGTCTAGATTAATTTAATCCAATGGTCTATTTTTTGACATTTCACCATCTCAGATTCTAGATATCTCTCAACCCCTCCTCAACTTTGCCCCTTCCTCCTAGCCATTGCCTCATCAAAGTCTAATTTTTGTTGTCTAGGTTTTCTAATTTTTGCTTTCACTATTTTTGTGCCTTTTTCATTACATAATGTGCTTTTCCTTTTTTTGGTTTTTTTGTTTTCCCATTATGCCAACTAATAGATCTCTAAAAACATTTCTATCTTCAACTCAAGCTGTGATGAGATCCTTAGGTGCCTTTGTTTTCTAATTTGATTTTGATTTGGTGTTTGTTTACAATTCTATTTTGGGTTTGTTTTTATACATCTGTGTTCCTAGCATTATTGTTTAGATCATATGAGAGCTCCTTTATTCAGATTTGTATTTGTCTTCTTGCTTTTCTTTTCATTTTTTCTTTCTTTTATTTTTTTTTTAGCCTTTGTTTTGGACTATGTTGTTGTTAACCATTTAGAGTGAACTTTGTTGCATTAATATCCTTAATTTGATGTTCCTGGGAAAATTGAATCTTTGAGGATTGTTTGACGATTAAAAATGGAGCGTGAGGCTAACAGTGAGTTTAAGGACATATCAGATGTTGATAATTTGCGCTTCATTTTGGTTGGGGAGTGCCTTTAGGCACAGGTCATTCACTAGATTATTTTGATGTATTTTGCTTTTTGGTAATGCGTAACGCCCTCAAAATAACCGCATTAAACCCATCAGATAAGACATGCATTGTAACAACCCTCACCTTACTCTTGCCATATTTGTGTACATTCTTGCATGGTCTAGCTTGTTATGTTAATTTGAAGGTTTTGCCTTGTCTTGATTTGCTTAAAGTTTCTAGCATGATTTTGATCTTTGCTTGGTGTGTGCGTAGCCGAGGTCATCTTGAGCTTAGTCCGCCTTTGAACCTTGTACTTAGATTTGTTTTGAGATCTTGTTCAACCCCATCTTCACCTCGGGCATTCTTTGCCGAGATGTTTTGCACTAGAACCTTGTCCGCAGGCAGGTATGGCCTAGGCCGAGATGTGGCACACCCCGGCCAAGGTGTGGCACAGCTTAGTCAAGTGTCGTCCTCCCTAGCCGATGTTTTCTATCCCGTTGCTGGATCCTTGTTTTGAGCCGATGTCATCTCTTTGCCGATGTGTCTTACCCGAGCTTGCTGCATACGATTTGTCAGAGACTTGTCTTGTCTATCAATCACCTTTTTGGAGCTGAACCAACCCGATAATGCCACGTGTCCGAGCTGTTTGTTAAGGCAGCCGACAGACCTTGAAACAAATCATTTCTTGTCTCAAATCTTTGTTTTAGAGAGAGAAGCTCTAGAAAGGAGGAAGAAGAGTTCTTGAGTGAGAGTAGTCTTCCAAGCTTGATCTTCGAG